TCTATCCACTTAACACTTTTTCTTTTCTTTTGTTTTTTGTTTTTTTTTGGTACTGGGGCTCAAACTCAGGTCCTTGTGCTTGCAAGGCGGCACCAGAACCGCTGAGCTAAATTCCCAGCCCAACACTTTTTCAAAGTATACAGTGTAGTATTTCAAACTCCTAGCACAATGTCGTAAGACAGATCTCTTCATATTTTTCATCTTTCATATTTGCAACTTTATATTTATTGACTAGTAGCTCCCCATTTTCTTCCTCCAGCCCATAGCAGCTACCTTTGTTCTCTCTGCTTCTGTTGGTTTAGGAACTTAAGATACCCCTTGCAGTGAAATGTGAAATCCTTTCATAATAACTTGTTTGGAGTCATTTGACAGTAACTTGTGAAGACCACATAGAATGATAACGTGAAGAATAGAATGAGCAGAACTCCTATTGTATCTGTCCTCAGTTGTTAATAGTTTGGTATGACATAGTGACTACTAAATCTGTTTTAACACAAAAATGATGTGTGATGTTTTCAAACAAATGTGAAACTTAATTATTTTGAAATTATGGACATCATAGGATGAGTGAAAGAATAGCATTTATATTCTCAGTTTGCAGAAAGTAATAGAGAAACTTGCTGAGCCCTCCTTTCTTTCTCTGAAGAGTGGTCATTATTATTTTATATTAAATTTAATATAATGTCTTGTAAATGTAAGCATTCAACACATCAGTACATTGGAGCTCTTTTATTTTTATCAGTAATAAAAGATGAATTCCACAAATAGTGTGTTTCTACTGCACAGATTCTGGGCCCTTCATAAATAATTCCGAGTAATGGAAAAGCTACTCTATGTTTAAAATTAAAATCATGTTTTGACATGCTTTATGAATGCCTTTTTATGGATTTTTTGATAATACACTTTCAAAATTATTGGCAGATCTACTTTTTGTCTGTACTTCAAGCTGGATAATGGAAGGTGATTTATACAGTTTTATTGAATTTACCAGGGTTGAAGTAAGCTACGTTAATTATCGCCAATGTCAGTTCTGCAGGCTAGCAGGAACTGAGACAAAACATAAGCCAAACTAAATGTAATTAGCATTAAAATGACTCAAGCATGAAAAATAATGGAATGGGTTCTGAAGTGTCTTATTGTTGTCAACTGAAAAAGATTCAACTTGTTTGTAAATGTTTATTTTAATTGCCTTTCCCCCATCATCTAAAGTAAGAGAGGTTTTTTATGTCCCTATCATATTTCCCAAATAACAGTTTGGTTTTGACATTACAACATACACTGCCATAAATAATTAATCTGAGTTTTTAGAGTAGGTGATGTTAGCTGAAAAGACTCATGGGAGTCTCCCTCCTTAAAAAGTAATCGCTTTTTCTTTCCAAATGTGAATTATTCAGTGACACCAAGTTTTCTGATCAGTGCCTTCTCTTCTCTCTTCTGAATTCAGAGAAGTTTGGGCGGGATTGATATACAGACTTAAACAAGTAAGACAGACTTTTACACAGGAATTATATCCAAATCCTTCCCACTAGTCCCGAGGTGAGCTGTGTAAGTGTGATGGGTTCTCCACAAGGTTTATAGCCAATGATTCGACCAGCTGCAGATCGAAAGTATCTGAGGAAAAATCACTTTTGTAGCGAACATGTTCGGACTTTTCCCCAGATCAGCTCTTCCCTAAACAGCACAGAAGAGCCTCTGCTGACACAGCGCGCTCACCTGTCAGCTGTTTTGAGCCATTGAGGTGAGGGTGCTCGTGGGTTCTGGGTAGACGTGCTGCAGTTCTCCACGAGGGACTTGAGCATCTAAAGATTTGGGTATCGGGTGGAATCCTGACACCGGTCCTCCAGGCATTCCGAGGAGCCCCTGTATTCACTGATGATGACCCAGAACTGTCAGATGGATCCACGTATGAGATGATAGGCAGAAGACGTTCTAGGATAAGAGAGAAGAAACGAGGTATCATGAGAAGGCGTCTAGGAAAGGCCTGCAAATAAGAGCAGTGTGCGGTAGAGTAGAAGGTAAATGGGACTGGGTCAATGTTGCACTTCCGTGAACAAGGCGTGTGCTCATGGGGTAGGAACTGAGAGGCACTGGGAAGGCAGAGTAACGAAGTTCAGGTTTTCCAATCCTTTCTAACATCTGTGGAAGGAGAGCGTAGGCACAGTGAGAGCGGCTGTGTGGTAAGAAGCTGGCCAGCGAGGTTCCCTGACCTGTGAGTGCTCAGCTTCATTCCTCTGTGCCTCTGAGTCTCTGAGATGAAGCAGAACCCAGGGTAGCGGGCGGGCACCTGTACAGCTGCGGGCGCCAGGACAGCTCAGCGTCACGGCTCGGTCCACTCTAACCCCGATGCCAGGGGACCTGTGTCAGAGCAGTTTGACACACCTGGGAGGTGTGCATTGATTTTGATTCTTTGATAAACCTACAGATCTAAAGAAGGCTCTAAAATATAATGATAGGACCCAAATGGGCCAATGCAGAAGCTGTCCTTTAAAACAAGTGTGAAAATATCACCAAAATAAGCCAGAATTTGGAAGCATTCTCTATTCCTGAATAGAACTTACAAATATACTAAAAAAATTTGTTTTTTTTGGTACTAGCGATTGAACTAGGAGCTTGTGCATGTGAGGCAGGAGGCAGAAAAATATTGTTTTTCTTGTCACATGGTGAGAGTCATTTCAAAATACAATCTAAATCATTTCTTTTTTTTCTCTAACTGTAGTATTGCGTTTCAATTTAGTTTGAAAATCAATATCCTTCTCCCTGGCTGGGCATGGAAATGCAGATCTCTAATCTTAGCTCTCAGGAGGCTGAGGCAGGAGGATTGTTGCAAGTTTGAGGCCAGACTGAATTACATAGTAAGACCCAGGCTCAAATAAAGCCAAACAAACTCTTCCCCTCATTTCCAGTTTCTTCTTGTTTTAGAAAGGAAAAAGTCCAGGGCCCTGGCCCCTGGATGTATTTGAGCTGGATAGGCTCCTTTATGAGGGGATGCCTGGGAACATGTTGGGTCTCTTCCTGTTAGGGCAGTGGGGCCTCCTTCCTCCTCCAAGGTTCCCATCAGCTGGTGGCCCCTGTGCACAAGCCCTGCACATGCGATGTCTGTCTCATGCACCTGTCTACAAGCGTGTCTGGTCAGATGAGCTTTTGTGTAACTTTTACTAAATTCAGAAAAGCCAAAGGAAATGTGTCTGCCCCTGTGATATACCATTAAAATAATATCTTTAAACTAGTCTAAAAGATAATTACCTGTGTGAAATTGGCGTCTTCGATCTCAGTATCCTGAAGTCTTCTAGGTTTTTGTGATCATGAAACGAGTTCTTTTTCTTCCTACTTACAGCTTTCTCGTACATCACTGTCACTTTCTTTATCTATATATGCACTCTGACATACCTGGTATGTGTGAATACTCAAGTGCCAGCTCTGGGTCCTGCCTCAATTCTTCAGTGAACGCAGATAACCCACCTGGAGAGAATCATGAAGCTTATTACCAAGCATTTTATAGTTGTATAGGATTTGTTTCCTATCGCAGCATTTAAGTTAAGTAGTGGAATCAAACTTATATGTTAGGAAGTTGTTGCCAGAGATTTTCTTTTTATGAAATAAAAATAGTTTAAATGAATGCTCAAGTTTTACACGGTATCTTTTTATTATAGAATTAAGTAGTTTGTATTAAAATGTAATGAGATTCATATGGAATATTAAAACAAGAAATGCTGTTTTAGACATTTGCTCACATAGCCAGGGGATTTAGTTGTGTATTTCTCATCTACTGCTGTAGACACACTATGTGCAAAGTGTCACAATTTTTATGGGGAAGAAGAAATCGCCTATTAGTCAATTTATATCTAACAAGGATATTAAACCTCAAAACAAGGTTGATCAAATTTGTAAAATAATTAACACACTGCAAATCCTAAGCCAAAACCCTGGGAAGGAGGCTTCTAGAGGAGGGAGGAGGTGCCATCCTAGAGTTCAAGGGTGGCTGAACGCAGAGTTCTAATGACCAAGATAGCAGAGAAAAGACCAATGTCACTTCTTGGCGAGGGATGGGGAGGTGCAAGGGTGATGACATTATACTTTTTATGTGGTATTCTCTCTGGGGCACTGGCTAATTCTGTTTTCTGGCCAAAATATGAACAGATTTTCCCCACAGGTTAGACTCATGCACCAGTCTCTGGAAACTCTCACAAACACACCTGATTTATTACTGTACTGGCTTTCTAGGTATTTCATAATGCAGTCAAAGCAAGACCTAAAATGCATCATCACAGTGAGTTCTGGTGCTGAACACCACGCAGCTCAGCCCCAGAGTCTGTCTTGCTAACTCTAGGCTACTCTTCCACATTGAGGAGGGAAAGGATAAAACCCCTCCTACCAGAAGTCACAATGTCTAGGGAAAATTTCCCATAGAAAGGGAATAAGAACAGCACTTTGAACAATGAAAAAAACAAGGTTGATGGAGATGGTCATAAGAAGTTATAAATATGTGTGCATTTAGGTGGGAAAGTACAAGATAAATTCAACAGGTCATAAGCAGGACAGTTAGACAGGTAGAGTTTTATTTAGAATTGCCAGATAGACAAATATGTTCTAAGTACTTTGGTTGGTATTTGGTATATCATCACCTCCACTACAACAGAATTTGTCTGTAAACTCTTTTACTATTTAGATAACATTTCCTCCTGGAAACTTTGTGTGCTCATTTATATCTGATTATTTTGTCTGTTACTAAAACCTTATAATGACTTTTCTCATTGGGTCAATTCATTGAGTAAACCATCATTAGGTCAAGACTTTGCTTGCTATTGGAGGACTTTTTTAAAATGGGTATGTGTCTATCAGCACATATGTATACATATAGTGAATGTGTAAATTTGGACACTGATGATGACTTCATGTAGACTTATTCTATGAGACTTCAGTGAGACTCGTTCTATATAAGAATGCAAATTCAAAGAATGAACTCTGTGAACACATTTTATAACACTCTGTTTTCCTTTCAGGTAAACCGGTAATGATAGTAACAGAGTACATGGAGAACGGCTCTTTAGATACATTTTTAAAGGTGAGAGTTGAAAATACTTTAGTTTTTCAGTGTTGTATATGTAATGACCATGATATTGAGGTTAAATTTGATCAACTTTCAAGCCATATTTTTGAACAGGATAAAACTATAGAGTCAAAAAACTATATTCCAAAATTAACTGTGGTTTATAGTGGCTTTTCAGAAATTTTTTAAAAATCCAAATTACATGTCCCTATCCAGTATTGTACTTAGGTATGTGCTAATTTGAAAAGCAAACAAAAGAAAGTGGGAATGAAGAAAGAAAGGGTAAAAAAAAAGGAAGAGCAGGAAAGAAAAATAAACACCGGGGAAGGAAAAGCTTTATAGAAATTACATAATATCTGGCAAAGAGAAAAACTACCTTGTGTCGTACATTTGATGCAGGCATAGGCGTCTGTGTGTGCTCATAATGGACTTGGGGACCAGACACTATGTCACAAGTGCACTTCGTCTGTGGCAAGAGACAGTAACCAGTGTCTTCAGACCCGAGTTTCAGGAAAGGATTGTTATTTGTTTCTATATGCTCATCCTCAGGTTTTAAGTATTGGTAACTAAGAGTTTTAGCTGACAGCTTCTTTCAGACAGGGAAGCACAATTTTATGTCTGCTTAAACCTGGGATGGATGGCACTGTGTGACTTCAATATTGTGATCACCACTGCTGATTAGGGAGAGTGTTGGGATGGCATTGGTGACTGTTTCAAGAGGGGCCATGTGATAAATAGGAGAGTTCTCAAATAAGCTGAATTTCCCCTCTAATCTCCACCCTCCTCCAGACTGTTTCCCCTGATCCATGTTTTCAAGTTCTGTTAAGGTCCTAGCATCCCTTTATTTCCAAATAAGTATCAGTTTAGTATTATGAGTTCGTGTGACTACTCTAAACTCAGTGCTTTGGACAAAATCACCATCTCCTCATGTTGCTAATATCTCGCTGGCCATTGCTCAGCATGTTTTCTCCACCTATGGCTGTCAATTATCTCTCCTGTACACATCACACATACCCTCATGTGTCTGTCCAGCAAGTTTCTTTTAAATCGCCTTCCTTTACTCTCATGCATCATAGGGGTTTGCGCATTACTCCAGCCTAGTCCCTGCCTTAGTTAAGGTCAGACCTGCTGATGCATGAGAGCAAAGGACTTACAATGCAGAAAAATAGATAAATAAAAGTAGCCAAGTGAGATGTTTGACAAGCGCTCTCAAAGCCTTTATCTGCTTTGAACAGGAAAGCATTCTAAGATAACTACATAGTTTTCTAATATTTCCCATTCTCCTTCCGATAGAAATTGTATGTGAGTTTTCATGGATGGTAATTGTTCATTTGGAGACTGAAGGAAGATCCTTTCCCATTTCCTCCTGTAATTGGGCTGCTAGGCTAGCACTTGTGTAATGTCTTTACAGAAAAATGATGGCCAGTTCACCGTGATCCAGATTGTGGGCATGCTGAGAGGCATCGCGGCAGGCGTGAAGTACCTTTCAGACATGGGCTACGTGCACAGAGACCTCGCTGCCAGAAACATCTTAATCAACAGCAACCTTGTGTGCAAGGTGTCTGACTTTGGGCTTTCCAGGGTGCTGGAAGATGATCCTGAGGCAGCCTACACCACACGGGTAAGCTCTAACACACTGCATTTCTGACAGAGACTGCAGGTGTTTGATTTTTAAATATTTTATAGGAAATAGTAAAAAGGGCATTCACCTAACTAAGTCAGGAGGAGTTAGACCATGAGAGAGAGACGAGAGAGAGAGAGAGAGAGAGAGAGAGAGAGAGAGAGAGAGAATCCAGTACTATTAGGTCTGTAGAAGCAAATATTAAACTCACATAAGGAAAATATTCACCATCTGAGTCTCAATAATTTATTTTTATCAAAGATGCTAAAAATATAAAGTTTGAGCTGCTAATGGATATAACAATGTTAAAATCATACATAAATTTGAATGTAAAAGAGTGTAAAGGCAAAATCTCCTATACTAATTATATACAAACACACAAATACATATGTGAATATCAACATAGATGGCATTATTTGATAATTTAGGCTATCTGTATTGTAGTGTCCTCAACTGTAACATGAATACCAACATATGTGGATCATACTTTTAAAGGTTTACATTGCAGAATAAAGAAAGACCTATTCTTTCAAAAAATTGGATTTATTGGCGATATTGAAATGGCTAATTACTTTTCTTAATACTAGGAAAACTGTTAACTGTTAAGCCTACATATATGGAAATCTAGTCACTAACTCATTGTCATAATTAGCATGAATCAACCCTTTCTTACCAGCGTAATTGCTTCCTGAATTGATCTAGGACATAAAAGTTTCTCCTGTGGAAAACTGGATGTGGTTACAACACAATATTGTACCTTTTCAGTTTTGAATCCCTTCAAATAATCAATATTTGTGTAATTCTAAATATTTTTAATCTTATCGTTAGACACCTCAATATCTAAACTCTTTTGTGATGCCTGGGATTTCTCATGTCTTTCACTGTCCAAATATGTTAACTTTTGTTTTAATACATTTTTATCACCTGTCATTCTCAAAACAGGAAATATGTGCATTCGTGTTCTATACAACTTTTTTAAATGACATCCATAGACAGTTTAAAAATAGGTTCTTTAACTGATTATAAGGGTATTTTTACATTATTTCTTTGTGACTCATGGATGTTCAGGGGTTTGTACTGTGCTGAAGGGCAAGAGTAATTAATCTGAGCAAATAAAGCCTTCCAAAATCCTGCTTAGTAAGTCAAAAAATTAATTGATGAGAAATCTGTCCTCTTTTAACTATAATTGTCACTATCTGCATTAAATGAAACCTCATTTAAGAATTCTCCTGGTAATAGAGTTCACTTAATTTTTATGCCCTAAGCAAGAAATAGGTTATAGAAAAGTCTGTTGCCAGTTTGATTGTTGACATCTTAGTTAAATGCAAAAAGTGAACTTTTCAGGGTACAAGTCAGTGTGTCATCCTGTAGATTTGGAATGAGAAATAGTTTCTCTGGTGTGAATAAAGTATAATAGTACATAAGATCCTAATGAGATAATTGACAATATAAAATAGGAAGAAAAGGGCTAAAGGGCGTAGGGAAAATGGGAAGGGTAGGGGAAAGGTAATAAGGGAAAGGAAAAGAATATGAGAAAATGGAAATAAAATGTTTGTAAATGGGGAGGGGTGGATGGGGTGAAGGGAGGGCAGGGGCAAGGGGAAAAAATGAGAACCAAGACCTGTCATGAAAAGGTATGAGATCTCAATGATGAATGTAACTGTACTGTACACCAAAAATGTACCAATAAACTCAATGAGGAAAAAAAAACAGATTTGGAAGGAGAGACAAAGACAAAGAAACTACGCCTTTGCAAACAATGTTGCTGAAATATGGTGTGGTAGCTGATTGTGGAAAAATTCTGAGATGAGTAGATAATGGAACTGGAATAACAAGAATGATATGTACAGTGATCAGAGGACCAGGAGAAACTTGTGGGTTAAAGTTTAGCATAACCAACCAACACTTCTTTTTTTTTTCTTTTGATTGAGTTTATTGGTACAATCTAAGTATACAGTACAGTTACATTCATCATTGGGATCCTGTAACTTTACATAATAGGTCTCAATTCTCATTTTTTCCCCTTGCCCCTGCCCTCCCTTCACCCCCTCCACTCCTCCCCATTTGCAAACATTTTATTTCCATTGTTTCAGTTTCTCATATTTTTTTCCTCTCCCTTATTATCTTTCTCCCACCCTTCCCACTTTCCCTACACCTTTAGCCCTTTACTTCCTATTTCACATTATTAATTATCTCATTAGGATCCCTGTGTACTACTATAGTTTTTCACACCAGAGAAACTATTCGGTATTTCAGTTAAAGAAATTTCTATATGAACATTAAAAATAGGGATTCCTAAAATAAAATTTAAAAGGAAAGTAAAAGAGAAAAGGCAATGATGTAACAATAAAATAATACTTAATTCTGGAGATGAAAATGGTCCCTCAACATATTTAAATTGCTTCTTGCTCTTGTAGTCTTATCTTATACTTTTTTTCATTATATAGAGAATACTTTATTAGTTTCTGTAATCAAACCCATGTAGATATGACCTTACATATTTAGTACAATGCGTTACCCCTGTACACACGGAAAAAAAAAATAACATTTCTAGACCAATATGGCTGTCCATTTCTGTACAATGCCAACTCAACACAGTAAATTGGGATAATTTTTTCCAAAGTTGACAGCACCGTTAAAGTTTCCCAAAATTTATAT